CGCATACCGTAAAGTGGAGACGTAGGCGGTTGGCCCACGAAGCGAGGTCGGCGTCCTTGGCCGTGGGGTTGAATCGGGGGGCTGGTCCGCGCTGGTTGTTTGACGAACGATTCTCTAAGGCTCGTACGGCAGCATGTGCGGCGACTTCTGAGATTCTATCCCAGGGGAGAGCGGCTTCGGACGTGGTGGGGGGCGCCGCGGGCGCGGGCGCGGGGTCGGTGGCGGCAGGAAAGGAAGGCGGAAACGGGAACTCGTTCGAGAGAGACATGGTTGTTGAAGAGGTGAAGAGAACGAAGACGAAGTGACGAGGGCGAGGACGAAGTGATCAGGGCGAAGACGAAGTGACCAGGGCGAAGACGAAGTGACCAGGGCGAAGACGAAGTGACCAGGGCGAAGACGAAGTGACCAGGGCGAAGACGAAGTGACCAGGGCGAAGACGAAGTGACCAGGGCGAAGACGAAGTGACCAGGGCGAAGACGAAGTGATGAGGGCGAAGACGAAGTGATGAGGGCGAAGACGAAGACGAAGTGATGAAGGCGAAGACGATGGCGCGATGGCGCGATGGCGCGATGACGACGAAGACGATGGCGACGACGATGAAGAGCTCGGCGAGGAGGATCACCTAGGCTCTGATACCAATTGGAAGGGAACCAGGCCGCTCCTAACAACTGGGAAGCGTAAGCTGACTTTACTGGCCGATATACTTGCGTAAGCACAGAAGATCGGGCTTTCAACTTCAACTTAGACTTACAATGTTCATAAAATGGTCCGCTTAAATAGTCATAATAGCGCGCCATTGTCTCACACGGAGAACCACAGGATCAAGCTCCACTAGCTCCGAAGTTTCGACATGGTCTCAGAAGCGCGCGCTAACGAACTGCAAAACCTTACAGTACCAAAGCTGTCAATAGTGAGAACGTGAAATCTGTTGTTGCGCAGCTGGTACTACAGAAGAAGTTTCCTGCGTGGTTCGTACCTACTCTTGGGCACCGACGGAAGGGGGAGGGACTTCACGTTAAGCACGCGGGTCGGTCGGTCTCCTTCCGCACGAAGAATGAGGCAGATGGTTACACTCAGCCAGCGTGCAAGTATCGTTTCGCCGTCCTGTTCGTGTGCGGACAGACACGCGACGGCAGCAATGGCAGGTGCGAGGGGGTATAGAACTGGAGGTCCAGGCCGGACAGGTCAGGCAAGTGTAGTATCGGTAGGTGTCCATGGGCATTGCGTGCATTCGGGCAGAAGTGTGTATGCAGTTATACATAGTGCATCTTTTCATTGAATGTGTTGTGCCATTCTCCTGACGGCCCCATGTGCATTTCCAAGCATGCTCTGATCGCGAATCTTTGAAAGTGGTTTAGGACACGCTGTGCTTTGTCGCAACTTATATGAAGACGACTGGAGAGTTGAACATTGAACAAATGAATGCATGTACGTCATTTCCCTCGGCTCTTGCAGGTGTGGTGCCGTGGCAGTAGTGGGACAGCTCTGGACAAACAAGGATGACGAGATGCATGTGGAGTTCCACGGGAGGTGCACCCACGTCGACACTCCTTACCAGTCGCAGGATGGACGTCGGAGCCGTGCGCTCACCAAGTTCTGCATCGATGTAGCCCATACGGCGTGTGAACCTGGTGAGTGATTGTGTGTATGATATTGTTACAGGGTGGTTAAGCTTCACCAGCGGCCCCCTTTCCCAAGGCAGTCCCTGCTCTCCCCTGCGAGACGGGCACCCTAATCCGTTCACCCCATCCGATTTCAGAATGTGTTCGTTGGGTTCAGCAACTCACCACCAGCGGATCAACGGCGCCTCAACTTAGTTCCTGGTCAGCTCGCAAGTTGATATGTGTGTATGCATGTGGCGTGATAATTACGCAACTGCTGTCTATGTATTCTTAGGCACGTTGGGTGCATTGGGTGCATGGGTCAAGGCCTTTATTATATTAAACCCCAACTTGTGTGTGGGGTTATGTTACGATGGTGAACCTTTGCCCTGCCCTCTGATGTCCTTCTTTGTAGTCATGTGCCTGATCCCTTCACATTCCATTCATGACGCGTACTGCTGTGACCATATGTAATGAACCCATCCCGTCTATCGTTGCCTTTCGTGTCTCGTTTGTTATGCATTGGGCATTAGGCTGTTTGTTGCATCCTGTCGTGACCATCTTGCTATTTATTACACTCTGCTTTCGTGTGAACCCCTGTAATATAACCCACACAGGTTCAAAGCCTCAAACTCTGAGGGGTGCGTTGCTGCAAGTCTTGAGCAGGGAAAACCCTGACATCATCAACTGTGGGAATACGGCACTGCAGCCATCTGTGGATGTCATACGGAAGGTACAGCAGGCGTCATGTCACGAATTAAGGTTCTTAGTTTAGTTGAGGTTGGGCTGTAACAATTATGTTCTGTTGCCTTCACGGGCCCGTGAATTACAGCACCCCGGGGTGCTGTAATTTGGGCGCTGTTCGAAATGCCGCTGGACTGAAACAGGGCAATTACGGGCAGTGATTTTTTCGGAATAGGTCCCGAATCCGGGATACATCATCGTCGCTGGTCCTGAAAATGAGGAATGGTTTCGATTCCGACCGTACGGTTTCCATTCCTCCAGCTAATATTGGCTGTCCATGCGAAAGCCGCTAGAATCTTACAGGAAACATTCGGATTAACCGTATTGTAGCACTTTACTGCCATGGACACTGCAACAAAGGTCCCACCCGCGAGTCAAAGAGGTATAGGACTGATTCTGACCTGCTGTGTGGCATAACTGTAGCCTGGAGAGTCTTGTAGTGCCGTCTTTCAACATGACGCCCGGCTGTGATAAGTCACGAACGATGGTGTACGAACGATCCATTTAATGAGCGCTCCGCGGTCTTTACCGGTACATCTTTGGGCTCCGCAACTCTTTGAAGCAGCAGCCAATCGGGCTTCATTTCAGGGCATCTAAGCACGCGCCATGACACCTCTTTGGACAATGTTGTGTGCGTGTCACATACCCCAAACCCATCGTTTGTAAAAACTATTGTAACTCATTGGCGGTGGTATGGGTGGGGCCCGGAGGCCCCCCAGCGTCCACGGATTAGGAATAATTTTATTTCCGCACCAAGAAACGTATTTCTCAGCTTGGAAATGAAAAATTGACGAAGGCACAAACGAAACCAAAATAACTGATTGCGGAACCGGGGCTGCCAAGGGGCTGACATTACTGCAGACTGCAACTCTCAGAACGCCAGAAAGGCGTGCGTGCGCCAAAGCGCGTCTAGCGCCACACGGGGCGGTCAAAGTGCACTCAGCGCAGTTGAGCATGGCCACACCGGCACGGCCGGAAAACGGACATGCAGCACCAGATGACTAAACGCAGCATCCACTTAACAGGCCGCCCCATGGTCAAACCTGGAGTGTCAGCGACACAAACCGCAACCTGACTGACAGGGCCGGCTCTGCTAACTCCCACCAAGCGATGATACTCTATCAAGTGCCGCTATGGTCATGCATGAACACTGTAAACTGAGAGGTCATTGCTCGCCTGGTGTTCCGAGTGGGCTGCCCGGTGTCCATGTCCCCAAACTGGGCCAGGCCGTCCAATTTTAAAGTGGGACAGTGAGGGGGGGTGTATGCTTACTCATGACAGGCTTGACGTTAGTACGTAATACTTCTCACTATCAGGGCCAAGTGTAGGTCCGGCAACCTTAATGAGTACAAAAAGAGCAAATGCCATAATGAACCTGCTGGTATGGTTAAAAGCGGATGACCCATGTCAAGCTGGTCGGGTGACGGGATGTATAGTGTCTCTGCTGAAAGAGGATTGTATGTAGGTGTCTTTAACCCGGTGGGCCTTGTGGGTTCCTGCACACAGCCCGCGTTGCAAACCCTACGAGGTGAGATGTATGCTGGAGAGATGTTTATCATAGGCATCCCTTAAAAACTTTTGAAATAGTATCGAATCCTTGACAGGAAAACGTATGGACTATGGAAAAGGCAGGGTTTTTTCGAAGCTGTTGTACGGCCCTGCACCTTAAGGGGAACCTGTGGGTTCATGTAGCTTACATTTTGATCCTGGCAACTGAAATGTGACATTATGCATACGTATTCATGCATCGAATGTAGGAACTGGCGAAACAGCAGAAGGCGCGTACATCCTTGTGGGAATCCTCCCCCGCCGGTTCCATCATGGGCACTGTGACCGAGATGCAAGCTATTATGGCTGCACGGCACGCTGACACGCTCACGCCTGCGAGCAAGAAAAAGGCAATGCATTGGAATCTACTTGGGTACATATTTCACGTCTCCACCGTCCCCGCCCAAGTCATAACTCGGACCTTGGAAGCCATGTCGGTTTACCATGCGCTGGAGAACGACCTACGCCTGGCCGTCAGCCCAGTCATGATCGACAGCTGCAGCAACCTGGTAAGTTCATTGGTTGGTGACGGTCTTGCAATCGTCGGCTGATGTCGTCTACCCGCCCGTAGTATTTAATGCACTCGTTGTGTGCAGCATAATACTTCTGGTGGAAAAGCATAGGCTGTGCCACAGGTTTATTTTTTGGTACCACCGTTTAGTTGGTACCACCGTTTTGTGATTGTTTCCGGTTTTCGTGGGGTGTTATGACAATGCCTACGCAAAGCCGCCCCCTCGATTGGACGCATTCATGATGACTTGCAGATTGCGCCTCTCGCTGGCTCTGCATGCAAGATCTTCACCACGAACACGGTAACCTATAGTGCCCGCAGCTTACTGCCCGACGCCACTCGCCACCAGACTGGGACGCCGGTTGTATTACAGCGTGTGCACCATGTCGAGACGAATGCCGCAGTGTTCGAGACTTCCCTGACTGAACTTGCGAAGGCGTGTCGCTTAGTACGAGGCCAGGGCGGTGCTAAGCTCCCTCCCCTAATCTTCACCGATGACTGCAAGGCTACACGGAAAGGCCACGCAATGGCAGACGGATTCGAGTAGGTGTAAATGCTATTCAAACATCCTAGATTTCGGAAGGGTGGAGCGCTGTAAGCACCGACCATTGATGCTGGTGTTCCTAGATTCTTTTGGGGGCCCTGAATATGAGGTAGATATGCTGCTGGACACACCCGTTCCGAAGTGGCTGCCGGTGATGGCGTGCACCTATACAATGTGTACCTTAATGCATTCAGGAACATTGCGGCCCAGCTCCAGTACGTGCGTGCGGAGATGGAACGCTACGAGCAGGCCATCAAGGCTGTCGTGGCGCAGCTGCAGCCTGCAGGGGTGTACCAGTACACCAAGTATCCATCGGCGGAAAATGATGCACTCTTCACATGGCTGGCGTTGCTCGTAACAGGTGAGGCATGGTACCGTGGTTTGTATCATGCCTCATACATGTACGAACTAACAACAGTAGGCTATGCCTGGTGACGTTTTGTAATTAACCAACACAGAATCATTCCGCGTGCTGTGTCTTAGGATACAATTCCGATATCTTGCCCGCAACAGGCCAGACGGACCTGGACGGCATCCAGGTGCTCACCCTTCAGCCGGTGCTCCCCATAGTCCTGCAGGACGGTGGGTCAAAAGATAACCCTGTGGGGTCACCGGAGGACAGGGCAGACCTGGCTGCTATGCACGGGGATGCACTAGCTAAGTTGTGGAGGCGAATGGTGGACCTCGGTGTGACGTTTAAAGTGGTGTCAGAGCTGACGATGATTAAACGGCCAACCGTGATGGCTGGAAAGGTCGTCCCAAGCCTGTGCGCTTCACATGTGGTCCGCAGCCGCTTCCAGTACCCGCTGCACAGCCCCTTGTTCGCATCTCTGAACAAAGCAGGTGGGTGCATGTGCCATGCATGGCATAGCAGTATAGAGGGGGGCCAGGGTACGGGTTATGGCATGACATGCCTGGACATGTCGGGATGAAGTACAGGGACTGTGGCATGTTATGTAAATGCTCTGGAAATGCTCTTGAAACGTACGTAGGTTGCATTCTCGACCGCTTGTCCTTATAACAGTATGTTTATGCATCTTTTCATTTAATCTGAAGGGAGGCGATGGCTGAGCATCGTCTGCGGGTTGACCATGGCCGTCGTGTTGAAGACACACATGTTTCGAGGCCCCGAGAAGCTCAGTTTGCTAGACTGGTACTACGATTCGTTGCTGGCCGTGTTGCGCACGCCATCCTTCTCACCAGGCAGCTTCTTCGCACACCATGAGTATGGCCCTTTCCTTATCGTCCGTCCGGGGACTGCAGCCGACAAGAAGAATAGCAAGCAGCCTGTGTACGTGTACGTGTTCCCGGTGGTCCTTACTCTGACCGATAAGGTGTTCGAGGTGAGTCGAAGTCACCAGGCAATCCTTGCAGCAAGGTCGGTGCAAGGTGTGGAGGGAATAGGGGCTTGCTGTTCCTGACCCAGTATATTTGGGGAAGTGTAGTAGCAAACAGACGTTATATTAGGCCACTTTGGCATTCCGGTTTAAATTCAATATGTTTAACCATGTATACAGGTCCGCAGGTACAGGAACGACGTTGCGGGTTATGAGGAGGCCTGTGAGGAGCACAGCGATGACCTCGTCCAAACATTACTGTCCAGCGAGCTTGCCACATCAACGGTGCCCAATGGCAGCATTCCGCTGGACGAGGAGTCCACCATTGTGGAGCCGCTGCCAGCAAAAAGTGCTGCTGTTGGCGTTGGTGTGCAAGTATCGAACCCCCTGTTCTTTGTGGTCACACGTGGGGGAAAACAGATGGTGCCACTGGTGATGTATTGGACGAACCTTCGCCACGACCTCCTGGTGTCATCACCCTTGGCGCATACCATGTTCCCATCACTTGACCGTGTGCGGGACACGGCTATAACCCTTCCACGTTCGATCACTTGGCGCACCACCGGAGGTGTAGAGGCAGTCAACAACGATTCATGTGAGTGCTGCTCCGTGCTGTAACGTCTGACCCAGCACAAAGGTTAGAGGACGTGCTTATGACAATTTTTTTGTAGCCTTTTTCGCCTTGGAACCTCTGGGTTTGTTAAGGCTGGACCGCTTATTGCTTTTACAAGCAGCAGATGTAACACACACATATACACTACGTTGCCTGCTACAGTTAGCGGTTTCACTGTCCTTATGAGAACGTTATCGTGGTACAGTCCTTACTGTTCGCGATGCTATGCCCCTTGCAGCTGCAAGCAAACTCGGCTTCTCTGGGAAACCACGGCCCTTCCCAGTCATGCTGACTGTCCTAGCCGCTTTCGACCGCCAGCATGGGCGTCTGGTGTTGGCGGACCTCATGGCGGCTGGGGTCCCACTTGCAAAGCGCAGCTCTCGCTCACTAAAGGCCATGCAGCACCAGCACTGGCTCAACAACAGACCCCTTGATGAGATCCGGGCATCGATTGCCACCAGCAGCAAGGCAGCGACCGCCAGTGATGTCATGGGGGATAGCAAGCGGTTGGCTGTGCACATGGACGCGTGGCTCCTGAACGTATTCTGTGAGGCTCCACTTGTCCTCAAGACTGTAGGGGATGTACTGGTTCGCTGGGGTGTCATGGATCCCACAGGCCAGCCAGTTAGTGCCGACCACTCCAGCAGTCCCGCACAGCGCAGTCGCTGATGGCAGCGGTGCTGGCATGGCGGTAGGCAGCGCTGCCGCGGCGGGTGTGCTGCCACACGCGGTCGGCGCTTCACTGCAGGATGCCGCTAACGCCGGCAGCAGCAGGCTCAATTGGCACGTCGCGGACGGCAGCGGTGCTGGCATGGCGGTAGGCAGCGCTGCCGCGGCGGGTGTGCTGCCACACGCGGTCGGCGCTTCACTGCAGGATGCCGCTAACGCCGGCAGCAGCAGGCTCAATTGGCACGTCGCGGACGGCAGCGGTGCTGGCATGGCGGTAGGCAGCGCTGCCGCGGCGGGTGTGCTGCCACACGTGGTCGGCGCTTCACTGCAGGATGCCGCTAACGCCGGCAGCAGCAGGCTCAATTGGCACGTCGCGGACGGCAGCGGTGCTGGCATGGCGGTAGGCAGCGCCGCCGCGGCGGGTGTGCTGCCACACGTGGTCGGCGCTTCACTGCAGGATGTCGCTAACGCCGGCAGCAGCAGGCGCAATTGGCACGTCGCGAACATTGCCTCGGTTCTGGTACCATAGGTTTGCTCAGGGGTTCGCTGACACTTTCTACGTTGCGCCCGACACGTGGTCGGCTTTCATAGGATGTGGCACTTCCTGTTATTAACAAGTCACGCATGGAGCAAAAGGACGCCTCGCCGGTGGAAGGTATGGTTGCATGGCTAGATTTTTATTTTAGGCAAAATGTTCCAGAGCTGTCGCCCATTTGCTGCCACCTTGAAATTGACGACTCCGGTCAATTTCGCAAGGATGAAACTTCCTAAAATCTTGCTTGGATCGATATATCCCAAATAGTATGTGTGGATGAGCCCTTTGGGCGAGCTGCACGTTGAGTTGACTACTAGCCATTTAGGTCAAACGCACCTGACCTAGTAGGACAGAGCTTGTGGACTATGGATGAGGACACAAGATACAGACCAACGCCTCCGGTGAGCTTGTCATGAGGTCGTTGATACCAAAATGACCTGTTATGCCCAGACCTGTAGGTGCGCCTATCGTAACCTGGCTGTGATTTGTGGTATCTCGGTAGCGCCACACATGCTGTCCTGGCCTTCCTTGTTGGTGGCTGCTGGCCAAAACCCTTGGGGCTCCCTCACCTTCTCATGGCTAGGTTTAATCCTTGGCCCCCCTCGCAGTCAAGAACAGATCAGGACAGGACAGGTCAGGTCAGGCACTTCTGGTGGTAGAGCACGCACCATTGCCTCCCCGGGAACACCTTAAAAGAACTCTTCCAGCTTTCGCACTGACGGGAACACTTACATGGCTATAGCAGAAAGCTACATATCCACATACCATACATACATAATTTCGGCGGCTCAGTATCCGAAACCATCTGCTGCTGCCCGTCCCCGTCGTAATGCCTGCGCTCTGTCGTCCAAAGTCGCTTTCGACACACTTCTGGTGCACACACACATACATACATATACACACACCAGGCGTATACAGCTTTTCAACGGCAGAAAGGGGCCCACGTCGAGCCCCATGGGAGCCGCGTTCTTATCAGCCACATAAGGCCCGGATGTGTGGAATCCACACCCGGGCCAAAAACAGCAATGACATGCGTATGCTCATCGCACACCTCAGCGATCGGCAAGCAGCAAACCGCATCGCTTGCCCTCGGCCGTGTCCCTGCAGCTGGCCTTGCAAACCCTCAAAAGCAGGTACGTAGTCTGTTAATTATAAAAACAGTGATTTCTTAAAGCAAGCAAAAAAGCGTCATGCTATCCAATCCCTAAAAAGACTCATACCCACAAGTACAATCCCGAGTATCCGTGTCAATACTTGTGACGGTACGTCAGGCACCGTACGTCCTCGCGCGTCCCAACCGAGTTGCCTTGCCCTGCTCCAACCCCCACCTACCCACCAACCGCATCACCACATGATTCTCCTCCAGCAGTAGCACCGACCCACCATCGCAGCCAGCAGGACTCTAATTTTATCGCTTTCCAAACAGACGTCAACCCTTCAAAGCAAAATCAGCGCTCTCATCCTTTCCAAATGTAATTGCGACACTCCTCTTTTACTCACCTCCCCTTACATTCTACTCATGATTCAGCATTAGAAAAAGCAGAAGAAGAAAATGCAACCCCCCCCCTCGCGCCACACCCTCGTCAATCTGGTCGCTCCTCGTTAATCTTTTCAATCCCCTGCGTCGCTGCCGCTCCGGATTCCCTCCCCCGCTCTCTTACTCTCCCTCCCTCTCGCTAAAGACGGGAACACACACACACACACACGCGCGCGCGCGCGCGCGTTGAGTGTGGCGGCGGCTGTGAGTGCTTTTCTCCGGTTCACTAAGGCGCAGATCCCATTAGAGTACTTTCAGAAAGAGCCCACAGGGGTGACCCACAGCCCCCTGCGTCCCGTCCCCACAGCCTACGCCAAAACGAATATCGCAGCGAGGAGTGGAGCCCTAGGAAAAGCGACAACGGCAGCGGCCGAATCATCGCAGCGGTCACGACATAAATCTCCGAGACCGACCCAAATGACGAAATGCAGCTCGTTTTGCCCCCTCCTTCTCCTCCCCCTCCCTAGGGAGAGACATATGCAGGTGTGTGTGTGTGCAGAAACAGAAGTTGGAGGCAGGATAGACTTTTTCCAGGCAAGCAGGAAGATAAGCAAGGCAAAACAGGGCGGCTTTGCAGTTTTTGAAATGCCCGTCATTAACCCATGCGGCCCGTACAGGTCATACGACATGTCGTACTGGACAATGGATCCGATACGAATGTCGTATGTTGGGGCTACTGCCCGATGCTATTTATCCAATCTGTCGTATCGCACGGTTTGTCTCGAGACAAAGCCCCTGCCTGCCCCCAAACCGCGCCGCATCAGCATCGTTCAAGCATACGGCATCTTTCTCTTTATGCATTCCCTCCTGACAACATCTGACAAAAAAAACATCATACCACGACCACTACACTGTCATGCCCACGACCTCGCAGAGCAGTGCCAGTGGCGATGTGACCGCTGGCAAACTACCCCTAACTTTATTTGTCTGTTTGTACGGCAGTACAGTACAACGTGCAGTACAGCAAAAAGGCGCATCAAAAGCGGCGGCGGTTGTGGCTGGGGGTGATGCGGCGCAGCTGCAACGCCAGCTCCGCCGCCATCACCACGCATCCGCGCAGACCCGTCCTGCACCCCCCCCGCCAGCGCACCTCTGCGCCGGCACATCTATACACCACCACGTATAGCTCTCCATCATTGCGGCCCTCTTTGCGAACGGCAGCACCCATAACGGAATCCGCTCCTGCCCGAGGAGGAACTGCGGCGACCTCCCCCCCCCTCCTCCCCCCTCAAAAGCACTTCAGCCTGCATAACGCGGCCTTCCTCTTCCCTCCTCTCTCCACCCCACCCCCCAATCCATTCCCGCCTCGGCTGCCGAACCCAGTCGGCCTGCCACCCACCCACATCACCCACCCACCCACAATGCTTAAATCCATTCACCCATGATTCCCCTCGCAGCACACATACACGCAAAAAACACACGGTTTTTTTCCTTCTCTAAAACAGGCAACCGATAGCGGCACGCACACTCATAATGCCCACATCGCCATCACCTCAATAATAATAATAACACTCGAAACCCAGACAGCCAATGGAAAGCAAGCCGGCCGGCCCAGCTCATAGCAATCACACATCCATCCATCCTATCCCGGAAAACTTCGGGCAAGAGGGGCAGAACCTAAACCCGCAATAACGGGACGCCCGGCTAACCCCGACCCACACCCTGGCCCCGACTCCTCCACCAATCGGGGTCCCCTCCGGGCTGTTGACCTTCTCCCCCTCGGCCACTTCAAAAACAGCACCACACCCGCATTCCTCATAACCCAACTCCCCGCGCTCAACCGGCAGTTGGCCCCACTGATACCACTCAGTAGTTTATCCGTACTCGTCAGATAGCCCCCCCTCACGCCCTCCTCTTTCCCCGCACTCCTACTCCGCTAACACCCCCCAGCAGCAGCAGGGAGAGGTCACCGCCCACGGGCCCCGCCCCATGGTTAGCTCTCTGCCTCTAGCCGTCCGTAGGCCTTCCCCCAGCACCTCAAAAGTACGTCCTATCCCCTTCCTCCGTCCTTGTGACGGTTCTTCTCCATACAAATTTTTAACACGTCTGATGCGGACGTGTCTGTGTATAGCGGTGGGTGGCAAATCCATCCTGTTAGTCGGTGTGGGGAAACCGAGTTCCCCCGCAGGTCCACACCAACACATCACACCAAAACCAATGCGTCGTACCTGGTGTCGTATACTCACCCGCAACTGCAGCAATTACAACATCCTCAGCAGCGGCATGCGACATACATACACACGCATATACAGTCGGAAAAGTGAAAGGAGATAAAAGACGGACGAAAGCAGCTGCGTGGACTCCACGTCTTGGGGCAGGGCAGTTGGGAGGAGTTGGGAGCTCTGACGAGCGGCTCGCACGTAGGAACCATGACATAGAACCAAGTACATACGCATATGCGCACATCCAAAGCACAGCCACAACGACAAACAACAATACACACCTCCATCCGCCATCCGCATCGTCACCATCGCCCTGAGGACGGTATGTTGCGCAGTCCCGCGACGTGCGCCGCGGGTCACCTGTGTGTTCTTGGTGGGGTTGTTTGGGAGCAGTACTCCAGGGGTTTTGTCCCCGCAATCCACAATCAAAAGGGGAACTGCTACGAGCGTCCAAGCGGTCGCGTAAAACCGCGTGGCGGCAAGAGGAAGCACCATATCATGAGGATATTGTGAAAATTGTAAAATTGAAAATGTAAAACTTTCAAAGTGGCCCGGCGGGGGATGGGAGTGCAAATACCCAGACGTGTCACAACAGAGTACAGAAAACCGCAAAACAGAAAACTGCGCTCATTTAGAAGCGTGCGTGGAACAGGGCCGCATCCGGGAGCCTCTCTCTAAAACACTGCTGGACCACTGGACCATCACTGTGAAGGTGGGGAGACATCCGGGAGCCATATGTCACCGCCGCCTCCCGTTCAGTGCGCAGGGTGATATTGCCCCGCAGGGTGATGTGGAGCACCCTGCGCCCTGCCCTGCCCTGCCTCCTCCTCCTCTTGTCCCTGCCCTGCCCTGTCCCGCACAAAGCAACTTCTCTCCCTCCTTTCCACCGCCTCCTCCTCTTCCCTTTTGCCTTCCATGCCTCCTCTACACGGTCCGCCTCATCACCCTCATCATCATCATCATCACCCTCTTCCATCCCTTGACCCTATTTCCTAAATCCAGTGACCGGACGCGGTAACAACAACAACTACTACTACTACCACTGCTGCTACTACTACTATTACTACTACTACTACTACTACTACTACTACTAGTATTACTACAGGACTTCGACGTCTTCATCAAAACAGGACAGAAGGGGCCCCAGCTCCATTTAAAGAAATCGGACGCCCTCATTCTTCGTCGGCTGACTAAAATTCCACCACCCGCCAGCAGACAAATCAAACCAAACCACAAACCGTTAAACCAGACAAACACACAAACACACACACACACACATCAACACCAAGACCGCAGAGAAAATCACAAGACACCGACGCGGGCACCCTTCGAGACAACAATCAACAACAAAACAAACGACCACATCCGCCGACCGCACCACACCGTGGCACCAACCACTCCTCCTGAGAACTAAAAAGAAACTGATGAAAAGCGGATGAGGGTACAAACAGCCACACAACTTCGTGCCGATGAGGGGCCGACGGCCCTGATTGATGATGCCGACAATGACACCAGGAGGCGATATGGTCTCTGATTCATTCCATCACATAGGAAGTGGTGCGACAGTAGTAGTCGTGGTTAAGGTGGTTAAAAACAACCATTTACAAAAATACCGCGAGCCGAGCTGCCGTATCGCCATCACCGCCATCGCCATCGCATAGCGCGTTGCATTTTTCAGATGGATAGCGGATACTGAAGCCGATGGGCGATAGGTGAGCCCGCGCGGTCCGTTAAGTGTACCGGTACCGTTAACAAAAAAAACGGTTCAAGCAACATGGCGCGTGCTTGGTCGTGTGGAGACGCGGGGCAAACCCGCTCCGATCCTGTCAATGCTGTTCTGAGATGGCGGGCAATTTTGCCGCCATACGTGTGTGTGTATGTATATATGTCTCTAATAACACGCACGCACGCACCAACACGTCATTCAAGGGGTAAGCCGATATGTGGGTCCCTTCCTTCCGTCCTCCACCACCGTCTGCGCCAGCTCCCGTGAGCAGTTAGTTAGTTAGGGGAGAAGAGAGTATACCCCGCTGTTGGCGGGCTTCCACGTCTTCACAGCCTCGCCCACAAAGGCACCACCACCACCACCACCAAAAACAACAACACTACACGCCCCTGACTGGCTCCAGCCCCCAGCGCTCCACCCTACAGACCACGTCATAGACCTCGTCATAGTACGTTCTTAGCCCGAAGGAAACCTTTGGTGGTGATGTGGTCACGTCTCTTTTTGCCGCTTTTCCTCCTCCCCCTCCCCTTCCCCCTCCTCCCGTCATCTGAAAAGAGACCCCGGTGGAGATCCACTCCTCAATACGCAAACACGTCCAAGGAGTCGCCGTCCGCCCCGGGTCCCTGCGCGCAGCTGCCGCTGCCGGTACCGCCGACGGCGGCGCCGCCACCGCCATGGTGATGGCCGTGCTGCCGCTGCTGGTGACCGAGCAACGGGGGAGTAACCTCCCCCAGACTGACGCTGCGCCGAGCCAGCGGCAGTAGCGCCGACCACAAATCGCACGCGGAGCTGTCCGTACAGTCGCAATAGGCCAGGTCAAGGAGCTCCTTGCTAAGGTGAACGCCGCTGCCGCTGCCGGCGGCGCCGGCGGCGCCTTCGGCGGCGCTGCCTTCGGCGGCGCTTCCAGACGTTGCGGCGGCAGAGCTGCTGGCGGCGCCGCTGCCGGTGGCGGCGGCAGCGTCCGATGCGCTATCCTCGCACTCTGACGCGGCATCCACCCACGTGGGCAGTGACGGGGGAACGCTGACGCCGCCGCCGATACCAGGCCCGCGGTGGTGGTGGTTGAGGTGGTGGTGACCCGCAGCGCCAACGCCAGCAAAGCCCGTCATCATGCTGTACCGCAGAGGCGGTGAGGAAGGGAGCCGCGTTGCAATGCCGCTGGCGGCGTCGACCACATAGCCACTCCCCGTCGGCCCCATCGGCACGCCCGTCGCCACCGCACCTGCCGTCGCAGCGGCCATCCCGCCGAGCCCAAGTCCCATCGCAAAACTTCCGCCGCTGGCGCCGCCGATGGGCAACGACAGCACCGGCAAGGACACCGCCGTTGGAGAGCTGCCGCCGGGTACGGCAAGGTGGTTGCCGCCGCCATCGCTTTTCCGCTGGCGGCCCGTTTGGCGGTCGTTCATCATGCCCACGAGGCTGTACGACGATGCGCTTCCGCGGCCACGCACCGGGCTGCCGCTGCTCCCCAGGGAAAACAGCCCGCTGGGGCCGCCGCCGCCACGCACCGGCGGCGACGCCGGCGCCTGCATGCCCGTACTGCTGCTCGCGGCGGCGGCTGCAGCGCCACCCATGTTGAGTAACGCCAGAGTGGATGACGTCATCGAGGACGCAACCGCCAGTGGGTGCGTCGACGGCGACGCGCGCCGCAACGACGAGCCGCCACCGCCACCGCCTCCGCCAGTGTGCGGCGAGAGCGCCTCCGCGGCGGAATCGGCGGCCGCCCCTCCGAAAGCTCCAACCCCGAGGGATCCAGCCACGGCGCCGTCACCGCCGCCAGCGGCGGCGGCCGCCGCGGCTGCCGCAGCCGCGTCGTCCTCGCCCGCGTGTGGCGAGCCCCAGGATGCGTTCCGCGTCGCGCCAGTCGCCTCCGCAAACTCGCTTCCGCCCCAGGATGCCACGGCGGGCAGACCCACCGCCGACATGTGCAGCCACGAGGGAATGCGGTTCTGCATCCGCTTTATCCGGTAGCCGCGTACCTGTTCGTTGGTTCGTTAGTTTGTTAGTTCGTTAGTCGGTTACTAGTCAACACGCGTGGGAATGACGTCTAGAGTGCGGGAGTGGGGGATGGGGTTTCGCACACAAGGGGTAAAACCCGCTGGGCGTGGAGTTGGGCACCTCAGAGCTGCCGTACAATGCGATGCAGTCAGTCCTTTCCATCCCCTTCCCCCCTTCACAAAATGCAAGTCACAAGACATCCCGCGCTTTCAATCCACGATTGAAACTGTTACATCACCACTTTTCTAAAGCACCGATCGGCAGATGCAGATCCCGTGATATGCCTCTTGGATACTGAACAGAAACACACGTGTACATACATCCTATGTCTCTCAACCCCCCACCCGCCTCACTCCCTTCCCCCCACCCCCACCCCCGGCGCGCAGACCCCCTACGATCCCCAAACCAAACAGCGACCCCTAACCCCCCCATACCCCCATACCCCACACACGCACCCCACACCCACCTGGTTGGTGATGTGCGCCAGACACTTGTCAAGGGTGGCCTCGATGGTGCAGTTGCACTCGATGGCGCTCAGCTTCTCCCAGGTCGCCACCTCACCCACCTAGCGCAGAGGGACACGTACAGGGGGAAGGGGTGTAGCAGTAGCAGTAGCAGTAGCAGTAGCAGTAGCAGTAGCAGTAGCAGTAGCGGCTATAGCAATTCCGCAAAGGCAGTGGTCGCTGAGCCGCGGGTGACAAGAAAATAAAGACCTGGGTGTGTATTGACGACAACCTTCCCCCCCTTCCCCCCCTTTCCGTGAAAGCACACATAGGACAGGAGGAGGAGGAGGAGGGGACGTGTAGGGTACGGCAGTCGCCAGGTCGTACCTTGACACTGCGAATGAGCTCCTCGGTGGTGGGGTTGACAATGGTCTTGCCAATATGCCACAGCGCCGAGGGCAACGTCATGGTGATGTCGCCCTCCCAGGCCTGTACAGACAGACAGACGGACAGAGACGCAGACAGGCAGGTAGGCAGGTATGTGGATATGTGGGTATGGCGCTGGGGCCAGGCCCAGGATAAGGGCCACAACGCCCCCTCTAAGCCACCACCTGGTAAACACGTCAAGCACGCGCCTCTCCCCCCCGCCCACTCACCCAGCCCTATAGCTCACAACACACTCGCTCCTCGTTCTCCACCAACGGCACCTCCCCCCCCCCCCCCACACCCTCACCCCACCCCACCCCCCACCTGCGTGAAGAGCATCAGCCACTTGGACGGCACCCACTCGGGCAGCAGCCACTGCGCCACCTGGCAGCGGTGCTTGAGCTCCGCCTCCAACACGTTCGCCCACTTGCGGCTGAAGGCCTTCTTCAAGTTGAGAAGCGGTACGATGTGGGGGTTGGTCTGGGATACCAAAAAGTGGTTGCAGTTGAACATCTCGCCTAGGGCCTGCAGAGGGTGGGGTGCGGTGGGGTGTGGTGGGTTACCACATACCACATACCCACATAGCAAAACACGGACACTAGCATCTACAATCATACAAAGAGACAAACAAAGGTGAGAGACACACAAAGCGAGGAGGTGTGTAGGTTTTCTCCACGACCTACTCCCCACCACAGTGCTGGCTTGGCCGCATCAAAGAATCCTTCCACACACACACCCACCCCCCCACCCCCCAGTGGCTACCTGCACCGGCAGGTCCAGCTCCAAAGAGCCATCCCTCCAGCGCCGCTCCAACGAGTCGTTGGTGGACTGGGCCGAGAACCTAACACCACCCGAGGGGTGTGGGAGTAGCAGCAGCAGCAGTGGCAGCAGCAGTAGCAGTAGTAAAAGCAGCAGCAGTAGCAGCAGTAGTAGCAGTAGTAGGTGAGGGAGGGCAGTGATAAATCACAAGCAGTCAGGAGCCCCCAGTTACCCCAGCCACAACAACAACAACATGTCCATATTGACAAGAGAGGCGAGGCCCTTTCGGAAAAGCCGCACCAGGAGGTGAAAGACACCACAACACAGCCACAACCACCACGAAAGCGTGTGTGTGTGTTTCGGTTCCCTCCCCCAAGGGCCCCCCCTCCCAGAAGCCCGGCCCCCCCCCACATACCTAATAATCTCCCCCCGGCTGTTCCTGGCCAGTATGTGCTGTGCGGGGTAGAGCCCGGGGAAGGCCGACGAGGCCGCCACTGCCGACCAGATGATCGCGTTGGGAGCCGTCAGGTAGTTGAGCAGCCGGGGGGGCTCGTTCGTGTCGGCGGGGCACACCGTCACGTTCAGAATGCGGCCTGACGGAGGGCACGTGTGTGTGTGTGTGTACGTGTGTGTGTTTTAATCATCAGAGGCGCGGTGAGGGAAATGCCGCATACGGTGGTGCATGAACAACCGAGTGTTTGCAGGGGGGGAGGTTGGCGGACGAAGGGAGGGCTTGAAGAAGCTGAGGTTGGGTGTTTGGGGGGAAGAGGGGAAGAGGGGAACCGCTGCCAGTACGCCGACCCCCCTTCGCCTGCCCTGATGCCCCTCTCGACTACTCGCTGCGCACACACACACACACATATACATACACACGCACACCCGTAGTGCTCCGACCGCGCACCGGAACAACCCAACCCCCTACCATGGACCCCGTTAGCCTAACTGCCGCCACCATCCCCCTCACCACCACTACCACCATGCCGTACGCCCAAACCCGCACGAAGCACCCCAAGGGACTCTTTCTCGCAGGCCCCCTCCCCCTCCCCCTCCCCCACCCACACACACCCGTCCGCTCGTACGCCTCGAGGAAGGTTGCGTCACCAATCAGGGACCGCAGCTTCTTAATCATGTACGACATGTCCTGTACGGCATGCGAAGGAGGACCGTCACAAGAGCGGGTGCGCTGGGCGGTATGGCAGTACACACACGCACACCCACACCAGCTACGACGCCTCTGTAGCTGCAGACACTGCAACCACTCCGTACCACAGCTCTCCTCCGCATCTCCCTTCCACATATTTCTTCAGGTTCGCAGCAGCCGGTTCGGGTTTGCAGCTGTGCAGCTTTCCCAACACGCCGCATGTGGGCTGATACCCCAAGTGTCCCACGCCGGGGGGACGTAGCGCCCTAGTACCACTTCGCATCATCAGGCTTGCAGCTGCCTGGTCGGACCTGCGGACCTGTACACGCCAACTGGAACATGCTGCTGCTGCTGCTGCTACTGCTACTGCTACTGCTGCTCCTCACCAGCCCCTCTGGCTCGAGGCCGAAAACCCTAAACCCTAAAAGGGAACCCCTTCGGTTACATGTTTACAATCATTTGGCAGAAGGACGATTAAGTTTGTTGTGGGAAGGCTTTTGGTCACTACGTGTGCAACTCAATTTGCACCTGTTTTGGGGCAGGTGAGTTCTGTAGACCGGCCATTGTTGTCGTAGCTTTCGCCGCATATACTCCCCCTCCCCCTCCCCCCTCTTCCTCCCCCCTCCCCCCTCCCCCTCCCCCCTCCCCCCTCCCCCTCCCCCCTCCCCCCTCCCCCTCCCCCCTCTCCCTCCCCCTCCTCCGCACCTGCAGACTGCCCTTATTGATGAGGTGCTGCACCAGCTCCACCGCCCGGCTGTTGGAGAAGAACCCCACATCGAACTCGTCCAGACGGGAGAACAAGTCGCGGAGCTCGGCGTCCGTGCGAGTGGCGATGATGCCACACACTGGCCAGGGCATGGCAGGGAGTGGTTTGTGTGGGTGGGTGGGTGTGGGTGCGTGTGTGAGTGGGTGGAGGGACTGGATAAGGGTGTGCGCGCGCACATGTGTTTCGAGGGGACAGGGCGCAGGGCGGCGCGGCGCCTGGAAACAGGGGGGAGGAGCACCTCACCTCGTCGGATGACATCAAAACACCGATAAGACATACATACGTGAATATACTCTTTTGGCATGCGGATAATCCCCCACCCCGCCCCACACACACTTTCCATCTCCCCCCCCCGCACACGCCCCCCTCCGAAACCCAGTCATGACAAAACGTAACCAACCTTCTCTTCCTCGCGCCCCCGCGTCATGCACAAAACACAATCACCACTCCCCGGCCGTGGCGCCCCCCCTACCCCCACACCCATACTCCATTCCACCCCCACCCCTACACATCCCCCCACCCCCACACTCCACTCCCACTCGAGCCAGCTCACCAATGGACCCGACGCTGCTTCCCGCCAGCACCCGCGGCAGCAGCCGCTGCTCAAACAGCGCCTTCACCACCCCAATGTGGAAGGTGCCCAGGCCGCCGCCCCCCGATAGCAGCAGGGCTGTGCGCCCAAACGTGTGACGAGTCTCCCGAAAAAACGCCAGCTTCTCCTCCGCCGTCAACTCATCCTACAGGCCATGATGAACAGTGTGTGTGTGTGTGTGTGTGAGAGGGGGAGAGAGACGGCGCAAGTAAAGTCATGCAAGTACATGGGTCGGTGGTTGCAGGTTGTCACATCATTCATCATTCACAGGTTTCAGGTCTTTTCGGGTTTTTAAGTGGGGGGTTCGGTTAATGGGTCGGCGGGTTCATAAGTTCATAAGATGGGACGTGGGTTTGCAGGTGGTGCGTTACGGCAGGTAGGTGTCTTGCGCACAAACAGTTTCCAATTCTCCTAGGGCCATGGTGCCTTGGGGTATCAGACAACCACGAGAACACATATGTGCATACGTACGCACATACATACGTACATACATACATGCAGATGCGGCTCTCAGGCCTTCTTTTGGCGACCTTCTGACCGCGACTCGGAGCACTACATACAATGACGATGCGCCATCATGCCGCCCCACATCGTCCCCCACCCTCCTCATCCTCCTGAGCCCCCCATCAGCAGATCTCCATGAAGGGATGCAGCAAAGTACCCACCTCCGACCAATCCACCAGCTGCAGCAGCTGGTCCTTCATTTCCGCCAGGTAACGCCGGATGTCCTCCGGCACCGTCACGAAGTGCTCATGGAGCTGGCTGCGGGGGGTGGCAGCGCAGGGTTGGATTTGCGGGAGGGAATGGGGAAGGGGCGGACTGTTCAGGCATGGTGTACCGGGTTATGTACCGTGACATATGGGTGTCTTATGGAAGGAAATGAGCTGTGTGGATTATGATGTGAGTAGGTTGGAAGGTATGTGACAGGAAGTGCGTGACCATTGTGGCCCGATGGCGCGGATGCAGGTGCATGTGCCGCAGAGAAGCAAGAGGTTGTCTGCACGGCGTGTGGCAAATTGTAGAAGAAACTGGGATGGGCTTATAGATTTACTGCTGATGGCAGTCGGCTGCTGCCATGTGCCAGCCGCTGAATGACATGGAATTGCAGTCAAAAGCCCTCGCGCACCTTTTCGCAATGTTGGCTATGTTGCGGATTAGGTCCGTCCGCAATGCCAGCATAATCTCCTTTACGTTCCCTGTTGCGCGTATGCATCGCAAATGGTTTGTCTTCTCCAGCAGCAGATTCCGGTCATATAGCCGCGCTGCGCGGCGGGTCGAGACGTCGCCGGCTGGCATGTGGGCTTCGTCAAGAGCGTACAGTTGCTGTGCAACCTCTCGCCACTGTTCGTAGCTGCTTGCTGCCGCGAGCAGGCGCCGCAAGCAGGCGCGTCGCCGGTGGCGGGCGTCCATGCGCTCCTGCCATTTTTTGGCTGCGCTGGTGACGACACCCACTGCCACAATTGTAGCTGAGGGCAGGTTAACAGTCGGTAGGGTCAGCTTAGGTATGCGGCGGGGACCGGGATACAACTTCCATAGCTTGCTGACCTGGCAACGGTCGTTTTGGGGGGGATGCAACTCACCGATGCCCAGGTGCCAGTTCTTGACATCAGCACCCATATTCCTCTTGTAAACCCTTGCAAGCTTTGCATGCGGAGGCAGAGCCGGAGAAGACAGCCAGCCTATCGCCTTAAGGACTTGGTGCTCGAAATGTATCGCGAGCGTCAGGAGGCTCTTGCCAAGCCATAAATTCAGCGCAATAAGCTTTCCTATAGGCAAGCTGAGCGCCCAGAGGACTTTCCAGAGCGCCAGCACTGCAACGTTTGTCATGAAGCTGAACAAACGGGTCGAAAGGTCCACCTTGCCCCCTTTGCGGGCTAACCGCATATTGTCCTTGTAAGCTAAGGTCACCATCTTTACTCAGTACTAAGACAGAAAGAACAAGTGACGGGGCCGCCGTAAGCACAAAAGGCCAAAAACACCACGTCATGTACGGCAAAGTCGTCGTGTAGGAGTTGCGCAGTTTTATTGTTCCCCCTTGATAGCATCGACCCCTAAAACTGAGTGGATGAAAGAGGAAGTCATCAACTATTAAAGTAAAAGTGTTTTGTTGAACGATTTGTCCGTTTCGCAAGACCGTTGCACGTTGCCGCGTAAGCCAGCCTGGCTTACCGCCAGCTCGACACAACAGGCAATAGATTGCTGGCAGAGCGGGTATGAATATATGCTGGAAACTATTATCGACTGTTTGGGTCGTTCTATTCCCTGACAACAAGGAGGCAGTGGAAGGGACCATTTGGGTCCCAGGCAGGAACTTCTTAATGCGGAAGCAGTATTAGTCCTTGAATATCCCGCATATCCTTGAAAAAATTACATCTAGAACAACAATCGTGTTGCACAACTCATGTCCCTGTTCTGTTGGACTTGCCTGCCTGAGCCCGCCGCCCCCTTCCATTTCCACTTCGGAAAGCAAACTTGGGCACAAACAATACTCGCTGTACTACAAGGATGTTTTTGTTCATGTTCGCGTGGAAGCTCTTAACCACATAGCAGGTCTATTCACATTTGGGCTACTCGTCGCAAACGTGGTGGGGCCAATCTGTTTTGCCCTTACAAGCCCCTTGAAATCGCAGATGGAAAGCACCCATAACTTCCGCCTTGTGGCGGTCCCCGGTCCTTACGGCCTCACTAGAGCTCAGGGCACGGAGGGTCAACGGGTCCAGATCAGGTTCTCGCCTGCTGGCCAACGGGCCCGTCGGCTGTCTTGTTCCTGCTGTATACCATAAGACGCCGCAACAACCCTTCATACCTGCCGCCAACAACGTGCACAACTGCAATGCTTGAAGGCCGTGCAAGGTCAGCTCCCCTCACATAGCGGCTGCTGGACAAGGACTACCCAGGACAGAACAGAACGATCTTTTCGCCACCCGGGCCACCCGGGTCGGGGGGAGGGGAGATTAATTGCCAAGTCAGCGGTTACGGGTGGGAAATCCTTAACCTAGAAGTAAAAGAATGCGTATCTTCGTGTCATGCCCAGCTAGCCGCAAAAGGCATCCGGGGTATCTATCGGACAGAGAACGGCACGGCGGCAGAACGGCGAAGACTTATTGATTTTGCGCCCTCGTCTAATCCGGCGGATTTCAAGACACCTCGAAAGTCCTCCGCCCGGAGGCCCCCAGGAGGCGGCTCCGCTGTCCCATCCCAGCCGGGACAGAAGCTCCTAATACTCCAATCAATCTTGTTTAGACCGATGATCTATTTGCAATGTGGCAGTCAGTCTGTCGGACCGCCGTTTGGTGGCCGGGTTAGCGCTTTTGCCAGTCATGACTGCAGCTGCTCACCATCCTTTAGGCAGCGGGTAGCCAAAGACACGAAGACACGTGTACCCCTGACCCGTGCGCCCAACTGAAGTCCTCAAAAGTACACAGCAATTTTTTGAGGCACATACACAAACATGCACACATTTTAATACAGACAAACACACATGAATACATAAATACAGACAGGCACGCGTTGACATACATACAGATAGACGTCACTCTTCAATGAATGCCTCCTGCCTCCAGGACAGGCGTGCCTGCCAACGAAGAACCAGAAACGCAGCGACGTCATGTCGGTCTGTCTATATGTCTGTACGACAGACAGTCGGGTGTACCTGATATTCACCACCACCACCACCATCACCACTATCACAAAATGTTTGCCACTTACCGCACGCCACGGCCAACAGCCACGTCGATCTGCTTCCGTACCATCTTAAGCATTACATAAGTATAAGAAAAAGGACGAGCACAGTAAATTCTAGGCAATAATAGTCGAGAGTACAATCTGGACGAAGCATTCGCTGGGGCCCCCTCATAACGTAACATACACCAACATGTATCAAAGTGGCGAGGGGAGGGCCCCCCGGGGTGAGAGGTCCCAACCAGCGATCCCCCCAGCAATCACTCCCCCCTAGTCCCACATCCGGTCCTGGACACCAGAAGCAGCAGCAGCCAACTTGCACACCACACCCACCACCACATCGCACAACTGTCAACTGTCAACTGTTAACATGCATATCGGTCATACGAGTTTATGTACAGCTGGTTGCACGGAAGTACAGCCTCTTCAGTCTCCGCCCAGTCGTTATGCATACACGCACATATAAACGTTCGTGTACATATATACGTGCACACACTTGTTAGGTGTATGAACATTGGTAAAGCCACAGGCCATACATGCATATCGAGCCAAGGCAAAAAAGAGAAAAAAGTCGCCCGCCCGCCGTTACACACAACAACAGCATTACGATTGCATCATCACCATCACCATCATCATCATCACCCGAGCAAAAGCTTGCCCAGCTGCAGCTGCCTGTGCCCACATACATACATACATCTTCCGGTGGAGAAAGTAGTTGGCCAATTTTTGGCACCACTGGTAAGGCGCGACCATTGCCCCCGGGAGATCCCGGGATTGATACCCGCTAGGGTCAAAAGTCCTTCCGATGGTGGAAGGCATTGCGCCCCTAGTTGATGGACCGTGGTGACCTGGGATAAAGTTAACCTGCGAGCCGACCAGGAACGGAGTTGGGCCGCTGTCGACCCGGCAGATTCCGTTGGATGCTGGTGGTGGGTGCAGAACCTGAGCGATCCACTGAGAAGTTGACTAGGGTGACTGGATGAGGGTGCCCCGAAATACCGGGGAAGGCAGGGTTTCGCAGGGTAGCTGCCACGGGCGAAGATACACCCCCCTGTTTCACACATACATACTTACATGCATGCATGTATTTCCGTACGAACAGCGCCAAGCACTGCGCCCATCACATCCCCACCACTCATCAAATCCCTTCACACCCTGCTACATCAGCTACAACACCCAACCACCGAACTACCCAACCACCCAACTACCCAACCACCCAACTACCCAACCACCGAACCAACCAGCCAGCTAATTCTCCTCCTCACAAAGACACTGTGATAACAACAATAACAACAACAAAAAGACATGCGAAACACACACGTGTACGACCCCCGGGCGAATGGCCCCGGGGTGTGACCGCAGCCATCAAGGAGCCCCCCCCCCACCTGTCCCATCAAACGTGCACGAGCATATGCATACGTGATAAAACACACCCCCGCACACGGTTGCATACACACGCGGCTCATCAGTTCACCCATGCACCTACTTGTATACTACTTGTATGTTACTTGTATATTATGCACTTCATACTCCTAAGTGCTGGCTGCTGGTCCGCCCTCCAAAACGGAGCGGCCTTCGGCGCCCCCAAAAAATAAAGTCCCAAGCCCCCTTACTGGAGCTGTAGCCTACTGGCGGCGGCTGAAAAGGCCTCTCGAGATGCTGCCACTGGTGGAGAGTGCTTAGGGCGTACTTGTAGACGTGTGCGTGTGTGCCGTACTGTGTACCAGGTACGACACCAACGGACTCAAGTGTACGAGCCCGCGCGTGTCACTAAGGACCTTTGAGCGCCAGGAGATAGGTCTTGATCATCACAGCCAGGCCCCCGCGAGTACCCTATCTCCGCCGCCGCCGCCGCCGCCGCCGCCACCACCACGCGCACCAGCGGACATCCGGCCGCGCCAATGACGGCCGCTGCCGCTGCCGCCGCTGCCGCCGCCGCCACCATCGTCGCTATCCGAGTCTGCCTCAAACACGACAGGTGCTGTGAAGCGTACGGAACGGCCGCCGCCGCCGCCGTCGGAGCGGCCCGATGCGTGGCCAGACAAGGGTTCGATGCCGCCGCCACCGCCGCCCAGACCTCCGGGCTCGCCGTCATCGCCGTCGTCGCCGCCGCCAAGCCAGGATGGCTGTCCGCTGCCTTGCAGCCCGGCTGGCGGCGCCGACGGCGTCGGCGGCCGGGGAAGAGCAAGAGATTGCTGAGCGACGTTGGCTTGGGACGCGTCAGCGGCGCGGGAGGCGCCGCTTCGCCGCATGTGGGACTGTGCCGCCGCCGCCACCGCCGCCGCCGCCGCCGTTGCGAAAATGAAAAAAAGAGATAGAGAGATAGAGAGATAGAGAGAGAGAGAGGGAGGGGGGAGAGATTGTTCCGTAGGTACGGAGCGGGCAGCAACATACGCTTTGTATGTGGACCGGAGCCGTCGGAGCCACCGCCTTTGTCCATTGCTAGGGCGGCTGTTCAGAGACCACGCCCCGGGTGCCCCGGGTGCATCCCGTAATGTACATCACTGTAAATCTGAATAAACAGGTACAACACATGCCGCGATACAAATGCGGTTATTTTATTGCCTTCGTCCTTCTCTTTACCAAAAAACCCAAAAACTAAAATTCCTCTACCCAGCCAGTATGGTTAGGGTCGGAAGCGGCAGCAACAGCAACAGCAACAGCAGCAGCAGGAGCAGGAGCAGGAGCAGGAGCAGCAACCTTTCGACAGGAACGGTTTTCGGATTTTGGCGCCAAGAGAGGACTTTGAGAGGAGATTTGCAGGGGGAGGACGACCCGCACGCAAGATCCCACGATGCCGCACGTGTCTGTGTGTGTGTCTGTGTGTGTCTGTGTGTCTGTGTGTCTGTGTGTGTCTGTGTGTGTCTGTGTGTGTCTGTGTGTGTCTGTGTGTGTCTGTGTGTGTCTGTGTGTGTCTGTGTGTGTCTGTGTGTGTCTGTGTGTGTCTGTGTGTGTCTGTATGTTTGTGTGTGCATGTGTGTGTCTGTGTGTGTCTGTGTGTGTCTGTATGTTTGTGTGTCTGTGTGTGTCTGTGTGTGTCTGTGTGTGTCTGTGTGTGTCTGTGTGTGTCTGTATGTTTGTGTGTGCATGTGTGTCTGTGTGTGTGTGTGTGTGTCTGTGTGTGTATCCCAATGTGCCCATATCCCCCCTCCTCTCCACTGCTGTCACCGCCCACTGATTAGACACATACATACGTATTTACAGGTGCATATGTCCCCCTTTTTCCCCCA